AGTTTCCTTTCAATCTTCTCACGGTCGTCCTTTGTCCGGTAAAAATTAATTCTTCAGTTCATTCCATTTTATGAGTATAGTTTTATTGAATACGGAGCACATCACTATAGTTGCATCTCAACCTTGGCAATTTGCAGGTCCTATCTAGCAAATGTTAGTATGCATCCTCACGAGCGCTTTAAAAATTTTGGGGCTTGTTTTTATTACTCTGGTATAATATATGTGAACAATAAAGGAATTTCTGAGGTTGTAGTCCTCTTTTTCATTTAAGTAATTTGCCATACTCAATTTATGAGGTTTTGGTCCTCTGATTCGTGTAAGTAATTTGCCATACTCAATTTCTGAAGTATTACATAAAAAAATCTTATAAAATCTTATAATAGTGAATGAAGGTTAGGGCCTTTTAGGTATTAAAAATGTGTTGGTGTAACTCTATAGCATTATTAAGTTGTAAATTATGTTTAAGGTGTTGTACTGCCAATGTTTTCTTCCTCCTAAATTCGTGGATTCGGTTAATTAAAACTTTCGATGTTATCAACTTCCGTTTATTATCAAGTGTGGAGAAGTTACGTTATGGCAGAAGAGAAGTGGAAGGGATACAAGCATCCCATCAATCTCTATTAGTAATGCTCCACAAAAAAAGGCTAAAGGGTCAAATAGATACTTGAACTGACTTAAAGTGTTCAAGTAGCCCCTTATATAGGAGGTCCTGCCCATCCGTCGCCAATTGGGGAGGTTCCCGGTGGAATTTTTTGATGAAACTTTTTGAACATCTTCTTCATTAAGTGTAGTTTACTCATAACAAAGTTCAGCTAAAGTTCAACCGGGAAGGCAGTCAAATGATTTTTTGAAGATAACTGCGAAGTTAAACAGTGCAGTACATTTCGGAAAATCATTTGACTGCCTTCCCGGTTGAATTTTTAGCTGAAATTTGGTATGAGTAAACTAGACTTAATTAAGAAGATGCTAAAAAATATTCATAAAAAAATTCCACCGGTAACCGCCCCAATTGACGACGGTCGTACAGAACCTCTTATATAAGGGGCTAATTGAACACTTTAAGTTAGTTCAAGGGCCTATTTGACCCTTTAGCCCCACAAAAAAAATGGGCCTCATCATCGTTAATGCTTAGTTGACCTACCACGCGACCACCCGTACTCCCATGAAATCTTACTAGCTAGAATTTAGATCGATGGATTATGTCATGCTAAATTAGAGAGATCCAATGATAAATTATATATATTTTGTGATTATAGATGCTAGATGATCACTCCGTTATACTACATCCGCCCCAAATTGATTTGCAAATTTGACTTTTCTTGGTCAAACAGTTTCATTTCATTCGCTTAATTAGGATGTCAATTTTTAATTATATTCTAATTTGGAGTTTACAACTTTGAAGAGATTTTAATATAGTTTCTCTCTATATAAATTTTAATTATTAAAAAGTGAATTAATTACCGATATGGGGCATTGACTTTTATTGTTGGTTGACCAAAAAATGTTGACTTTGCAAAACAATTTGGGACGGAGGGAGTATATGATATGATCACTCCAAATATACTGTGAACTTAGGCACAAAATGGGATAATATCCAATTAAAGGTTCTAAAACAATGGGATATATAGTAATGAGAACCCTTCTAAAATGAGAATTCATTTAGGGCATCCTCATTAGTAGGATTATTATGAGATTAAATCTGTGACATGATACTTTTTTTTAGAGAATTATCATTGAGTGATATAGATTGTGTAATGGGATTATTTACTACAATAATTTGGGATCAAAATATGAATCCGGATTATTTTAATATTATTTGAATAGTATATGTAATAGAGGTTAATGCGGGACAGAGAAAAAGCAGATTAGGAGTATTTTGATGAAAGTGCAGAAGAACTTCTGGTGCTCTAAATTACTCCTAGAATCAGTTTTTTCAAAAGCTAGGAGAGACCAGCTTCTAAAAATTTATTCTGATTCTGCTTAAAAAAAAGAAGCAGAAGCAGAATCAGTTCCAAACACCCTCTTATTTGAAGATGATGATTAAGAGACGTAAATGAATTTTGAGATTATTTTAAAATTAATTACATAAAAATACATAAATGGTAAGGATCACAAAAAATTTGATAATTAAAGATCATGAATGGAGATGCTCTTATAAATGAGAACTTCTAATCTCCACCTTTCTCATTTGAAATCAAGGGCTAACTAGAATTAACATGGTAACATTTTTGTAATAATGTTATTGATTACTAAAAATACGCCGTTTGACTTTTGAATAATTACGCAAAGGACCATACATGCACCATACCAAATGCAAATGATTGATTAAATTGAAAAGTTGTTAATTAATAAAATGTCTCATTATAAAGAGTTCTCATTTTAAGATAAGTTCTCACTAGAATCGTCTCATTTTTTGATGAAATTTTATGAGCATGTTATCCATAAATTTTATCTCACTAGAATGATAAGATTTCATGTACGGATCGCCTTATACAAACTATCTAACGACCAATGGGCTTCTCCCGTGTTAAAGACTCATATGACTAACCTTTAATGGAGAATTTGACTTGGGTGATTCTTCATTAAACTTTGTGAGCATGTTATTCATCAAGTGAAGATTATGTCAACAAAAGTTCATCTTAAAATTCGGTTGAGATGTCAATCGAATAAATTATTCAAAAACACTGCGACAAAATATATGTACAAAATGCATTGTATTTCAGTAATTTATTTAACTAACTTCTCATTCAAATTACATCTAAAATTTTGAGGGCATATTCTAAAGTTCATGAAGAACATGCTCACAAAATTATTTTAAGAATCATATATCCAAGGACGGGTAAAAATACATAAAGAAAAAAAAAATATCTTTTTATTTCTATTTTTTCGGGGTCTAGGACGGTCGCCCCTATTGTCCCCCTAGGGCTGGCTCTGATGACATTTAAATTTACTTTCAAATATTCCAATCCGCACGTGTACACACTTCATTAAATATGGCTATATATCTAGAAAATATGTTAATATGTACATTACATATATATTGGGCATAAACTCAATCGCGCATGGCGCGTAAAAAAACTAGTACATAGTATACGTAGTAATATGTATTATCACACACTACGTATATAGCATACGTAGTGAGTCTATAATTGTATTTAAATGTGAGATTTTGAAATTGAGTTATGCCTCATAAAAGAGTTAGGTAAATTAAGATAATGGTTGAGGAGTGGAAGCAAACTCAAAAGTCGCCCTTGTAGCGCTATAGGTCTGCTTCTTCGGAAGTTTTCGGATTTTCTCTCTAGAGCTTTACGCCGTTGGAGTTTTTCTTCCGTTTTCGTCGAGGACGAAGAACGGCCGTGGTTGCTTCGCTTCTATTGCGGTGAGTAATTGGTGTTGGTACGTGGTTGCTTTGTCTGGGACTCAGAAGGCTGAAATCGACGGAGGGATCTTGTTGTTCAGCACGAAGGTAGAGATCGACAGAGGTTCTGTTGATCGGTTTCCTCGGCTATTCAACTCGACGGAGGATTTCTGTTGACCATTCGGGGAGGAAGATTAACAGGAAAGAATTAGTCAGAGGCCAAGAGGGTTGCGGCCACAAGAGTTTGTTTGGGGCGCCACAAAGCAGCAAGGCATGGTAGCAAGGAAAGATAAATGCATCACAGGGCTTGACAGCGAAGAAGATGACCAATAGTGCCGGTTTTGGTTCGAGTGTAGGACGAGGAGAGTTGCAAGGGTTTTGTCTAGGCCAGATTTCAATCGACAATTGATGATCAATTAGAGTGGTACCGAGGGTACGGCATCCTCCTGAACCACCGCCGGTGGTTGAGGAGGTGATTTTACTCAAGAGGACTAGCTATGGTGTCTATTTTTTTTTTTGGCGTTTTTGCATTTTAATTTTCACGCTGAGACGATTGTGTTTTTTATTTTATTTTATTTTATTTTATGTTGTAGGACTTTTGCACTTGGATTGGGGGATGAGAGGTCTGCGGTAATCGTCGTTGGTTTGATAATGTCCAAGTTAGGATTAGCTCTTTCAAAGGTGATTAACTCTGAGTCTTGTCCAAGGGCGGATGGTTACATGTGGCCCTTTTGTTATTTCAAACCATATCTGATTTCTATTTTATTAATGTAAGCCTCTTTGATAAAAAAAAAGTCATGGTTGAAGAGAAATTAATTGGTTTGAAGATTATTTGAGATTTTTTATGTAGAAATGACATGATAATAATAACTCATAAAAAAGTAAAATTGAGTAGCATCAATCAAAATGCTGTAAGTGATACCCGTACAATTGTCCTAGCATTCCTAACTAATGACCCTATCAGGTGTTTTGCTCGTTTCCAAGAAATAAATAGTAGAGGAGATAATGATAATACACCCGGTGTGAGATAAATGAAATATGAATTGGAATATTTTAAGTAATGAAATGTAAAAGAAAAAGAAAGTAATTCATAAAAAATCTTTGAATTGCCTTTCAAATAATGTTTTGCACATGAGATAAGAAAATAAAATTGTATTGTGAATAATTGTGCAAAAGAGGCAGAAATGTATAATAATATGTTACTCATGTTGTGGACCACAAACTATTTGTTAAAAAGGTAGAGTTTAAATTATTTTGATAGGACGAAGAGGGAAATTGAAAGATGATACGGGAACATAAATACCAAAGAGCAATGAATAATAGTGAGGGTATAAAAATATTTTGATAAGAAAAACTACTAAAAGGAAAAAGGGAAAAATGATAAAAGTTTTATATTGTTGCAACAAAGTATGAATTATTGGTTCTTGTTATGGATCCACTCCTACAATCTTTGTAATCGGAACATCAATCTAATTTATTCTTGTACGTAGTAATAGTCTAATAGATAGACGGTCGAATATGTTTAATATTATCAGCAAAATATGTTTAATGACTCATCGCCAAATCCAACTAATATAAACCAGGCTGAATTGATCCTCTATAAATACATTCAATAAAGTTTATTACGAAAAAAAGAAGAATATCTAGATCTCATTAATTAATTTCTTCCAGCATAAGGGAAGTTTTTTATGAGACACAAGTGAAGAAAAAAATATAGGCATCACACAGAAATTCATACGCTACATCATACGGACTTACGGAGTAAAAAAGACCCCGGCGAGTCGGGGCGCCGGACAAAAAACCCGCGTACTGCTTCTCTATACAATCATCCTTCTACGGCCAAAACCTCGTCAGTCAGCTTCAAATGCCTCCAAAGAGTGAGCCGTGCCGGAATTTCATCCGTGGAAGGTGTGTCGTTTATATCTGAATAGCGAAACGATGGCCCTTGATAAAATCACTATTTTTTTCTTTCTGGTTGTTAATAATGCCCCGATTAGAATCAGAAAAGGAAACTCCTAAAAGACTTCTCTTTGAACTACAACAATTTCATTCCAGCTTGTTGTATCTGTCTAGATATTGTTAGCAGTTCACTTTTCAAACTAGTCTGTGTCTTACATGTTTGTAAAAAAACTACTTACTGTTGCTTTGCATCAGCAATTTCTGATCCCTAACCTTTCTGTGAAGCTGTCGTTATGGTGATCGTTGCAAATTTCTTCATGCTTCCCAACAACAGTCCAAACCAAATGTGTTTGGATTCGGGAGCCAAAATAGCGCACAATATCAAAGGTCGAATTTTCAGCAGCAGCAGAGTCCCAATCCTTTTGGGTTTGGTGTTCAGAGTAACTATCAGTCAAGAGAAGTTGGTATTGGATTGAAATCAAATCAGAACAAGGTTCTTATACTTGATATGCAATAGTTTTAATTAACTGACCCAGATCTTTGACCTGAATTTCTGAATCTCTTACTGACTTACTCCATTCGTCCTAAAAAGTGTCATGTTTCAAGAACTTCTTTTGTCCCCCAAAAAATATGGGTTTAAAAGTTGAACTTTAAGTATTAGTAATGTTTCTGTAAAGCCAAGCAGTGAGCAGTTTTAGTCAATTTCCACAAGTCTTGGAATAAATTTTACGTGATCAAAAACAAAAAACAAAGCTTTACTAATTAGGGAGTATATGTTATAGATCAATATGTTGGCATTACCTTTACTGATTATTAAACTGTAAATCTTAATGTGGTTTATGCATCTCATAGTATACAACACTGTTTCTGTTGATATGAGAATAATACTGTTATGCTTATGTTAACCACTAAACGTCTGTGACTTTTTAATTGTATATCCACCTTGTAATCATTAAGTTGTGTTATGCCTTTCCATGATGCAAGTGGATTCATGGTCCTTAAGCTAATTTTGTCCATTTTCCTCCAACTAGCCATTTGAAAATAAGTGGACACGTTCATCTGCCAATGCTAGTACCCCCCCTACACGTCAACAGGACAGTCAGCAGACAGCACCTAATCATATGTGAGTGAAGTGTTTAGGAACTTATTTCTTGTACTTCTCCACACCAGCTTCTATGATTATGTCCATCTTTGTTGTTTCATGTGATAACAGCTTGTGTGAACTGATGGATTTTGTCGTTCCAAATTCGAAGATGCACAGATCAAGAGTCTTGCAAACGTCAAATCATTGAAGATTTTCAAAATGAGAAGCCTCTTTGGATCCTTACCAGCTATGGTCACCTAAAAAGGTACTACCTCCATCCCATTTTATGTGTCCTACTTTGGTTTGACACAATTATTAATAAAGTGGTTGGAAAAGTAAAAGTTGTGGTTGAGATTTGAGTATAATAAAGTGAAGTGATGTAGACCACATATTTCTTTCCAAAAAAGAAAATATGACACTTATTTTGGGGCAACCCAAAAAGGAAAGTAGGACATGTAAAATGGGACAAAGGGAGTATGTTTTAGTGATACGTAATTCTCATCATATGTTTTTTCTAGCTCACTCACCCACTTACTGGGTTCCTGGGTTCCTCCTGAAAGAGGTGGTTTATATGGAAACCTAAAAAAATTAGAAACACATCTTTGACAAGTTAGTTGCGAGATGGAAATAGTTCTGAATGTGTAGCCACAAAGCCTCTACTAATGTATTCTATGATAGGAAGCCGTGAAGCTCCGAGTTTACTTGATTTAAGCAGTTAATTAAGGTTTAAAACTGTTTTAGGTTTAGATCCTTGCAAAATATTTTCTTGTTTTTCATGTCTGAAGTACATGTTAAGGAGTACTTTTAGTCCATATATGAATCTTGGACAATCTCTTTTTTTTTGCATATCGTTCTAAACCTATTATAGTATATGCTCAAGTCAATGCCAACATCTTTGATTGGGATTGGACTCGAACTTGTGACCTCCTCTTTGGGAAAATCTCATTTCTAAAAACTATTTTAAAATGTATATATTTTACTCAGAATAATTCTTCCAAACTTTTCACATCGACCTTTTACAACTTTTTAGAGGCTATTAGCAGACATAGGGCTACGTTTTAAATGTAGCCATGTCGGTTTGATTGTTAAAAGGATATAGCTAGAGAGTCGATGAGGCATTTAATATGTAGTAATTTTGCAGGGACCTGTAATAAAAGCTACTATTTACGTAGGGACTAAAAACATACTTAAGACATTTGTCAATTTGCTATAATATTTAGTTTCCTTATGGTCCACATAACCCATTAATGACAGGAAGGATCCTGAAATTTTGCATTTAACTTAGAATGTCTTAAATTCAAATGCAGTGGTCCCTGTGATGTTGCGGGTGATATTAGCTACGAAGAACTACGGTTAGCAGCATATGAAGATGCTAGACGTGGTGCGAACTTGCAATCAATTGTAAGATGTTCACACCTCCCTACTTGCTCTTCTCTCTTTCTTTGTATAAACTATATACTTATAGTACCATAGGAACCTTCTTTTGGGATAGTTTGTTTCCAAAATTTGCATAAAGAATGTAAAGGCTTCATTCAGTGCCCTGACATTGTGGACATGATAATAAGGAAGATCGAGGGCAGTGTCATTGTTTAATCAAAATAATGTGATTGTAAAAGATATTAGAATCACATTTCTTCCATGAGTCGAAGGGATAGGTAATGAATGTGATAAATTGGGCCTAACTCACCCCAAAAGAATCCCCAAGAGAAGTGTACCCACATTAGATTCAAACCCAATAGACAGTCATGTGGGATGCTGAACAATATGGAACACCAATTGCAAGGAACCATGAATTCAATCAAATAAACATAACTGACAGGTCAAAGAGTTGGAATCATTCATCTTCTCTGACCTTATTACAACAAGCAAACTGAGCCTGAAAGAAACACAAAGAAAACAGGGGAAGAGGCTTTTATTACTCTTATTTGCCTCTCTATTTGCTATTCCTTCTCAATCCCCTTATCTCATCCCCCGATCTTGTCAAACGTAATAGATAGATCAAAACTGACAGCGAAGAATACAAAACTTCATGCACTTGATTCTGACTGTGTTCAATGCCCAATTAATGCAGGTTGGAAGGGAGAGAGGTCTAATTAGATCCAAGCTAGCTGAATTAGAGTGCTTAGTGCGTAATAATAGTCCAGCTCCGTCAAATTCAATGTTTGGCTCTCAGAGTTCTTTATTTGGGCCTAGTCAAAATGCTCCAACAAGTGCTCATAGTCCTCCATCTGCCTCAAGTTTTGGTCAGCTAGGTGCATTAAGTCCTCCATCTGCCTCAAGTTTTGGTCAGCTAGGTGCAATAAGTCCTCCATCTGCCTCAAGCTTTGGTCAGCTAGGTGCATTATTAAACTCAGGGTTAGAATTGTTTTATTTATTATGTAAAATGTTAGTGTTGTATTCATACTGTTTTAAAGCTTGGCTTTGACGGATGATGACTTTGTTTTCTTTCTCTTCCAAACACAAGGCAATCAGTTCCTCCAAATAACACTCTGCAGCAGTCAAATCCCTTCCCTCAGATGTCTTTCGGAAATGCAGGTGCCATATAATAATATTTTTTTGTAGCATTACACATTTTTGCCTGTACTTTCATTAAAGTTATTTTTACTGGCTTTTGTTCTAGGCGCATTTGGAAGTCAGTTTGGTGCTCCGTCAGTTCATAGCCCCTTCACCTCCAGTTCTGCAACCTTAAACAATGGCCTAACTAGTGAGCAATCGCTTGGCAATGCTGGATTAGTGTAAGCTCAACAAACTATTACTTCTATTACATGAGACTGAAGAATCAAGTCTAATATACAATCTAAGCATTACCATTTTTTGTCCCAGAATAATAATCAGTCCTGCTTGTTAAAATAAAGCTGGATTTTTATGTGATTTTCAAAAAAAAAACTGTGTATAAAAGAATCACAAACAAAAATTTAGAATTTACAATATATTACTGTAACGTGACTTGGGGGTGCAGTAAATGTTTGACCTAGTTGCATAGATGAGGGACTGAGACTTTGAGAGGACATTTGGGAGGATTTGATTTGATTGTATGTTAAGAGAAGTACACTGTAAAGAACAGGTATGCTAACAATTTGATTTGAACCCATACCTAATTTGTTGTACTTTGTTCTAGATAGCCTGATCATTTTTAAATAATGCTCTTGAGAATTCCTTGAGACCAAATGTAAAGAGTCTGGATGAAGATCTCTTTAAAATACTCCCTCCGTCCCATAAATTTCTCCCCGGTTTGACTTGGATCGGAATTTAAGAAAGTAGTAATAAAGTGGAAATGTATGATTGTGGTTGAGTAAGAAAAAGGTAAATGAATGTTAGCCACACAAAACTTTACAAATAGGGATATGGGAAGAACGTTTTGGGGCATCCCAAAATGGTAAGTGGGAAGAATTTTATGGGACGGAGGGGGTATATGGTGAAGATTGATGATCATTCATACTCCCGTTTCATTTGTTCAAACAGGCCTGAATATACAGAGTGGTTCTGAATTCAATTGATCCATCCTTATAATATATTCCCATTGTTATAGATGAGTGATGTGTTTTAGATATAGGAACATTTGCCTCTAAAGGTTGTAAAAGTACAAAGTATAATGCATGAAAGTTGAATTTATGAAACACCCACGTGAAAAGAAGGATTTAGGAGTGTTGGTTTTTTTTTTTTTTCTCCAAGGGAGCTGTATGTCTTCATTGTTATAGCTTTATATCTGCTTCAGGGCTCTAACTGTTTGAACTTTCCTTTTAAAAGGAACCCGAAGGTACCTGCTGATCTAAAAGATAGCATTTGGGGTAAGGAATGGAAGATTGGAGAGGTATGGTTTACTGTACATAGCATCGTGTAAAATTTCAAGTTCTTTGCCTTCATTACTTAAAACCTTAATTACTTTCAAGGCATCCTCACACGTCAAATACATTTCAAGCAAAGTGCATATGATAACGCCTCACAGTCACAGACCAACAGTAGTTGTTTAGAGTCTTTAGACAGATTGTTGCTCATATGGGTTTCATAACTAATAATTAACAGTCATTTACCTCCTAAAATCTACACATACGTTTAAGGTTAGTAAGCGCATATTAGTTTAATCTTGAGGTTTTTTCGGAGGTTAGCAACGGCCAACATTACATGTAATGTTTTTTAAATGGGAAACCGCCTTATGTAAGAGCAACATGTAATCAATTTTCTCCTCATATAGAAGTACTTCTACATTCTTCCTTTTTTCAGAAGTATGAGTCCTCAAAAGGAGGTTAACTTTTTTTCGTCAACATTTTTGCAATTCGTGGGTATAGTCACCTTCACTCAAAAATGACTCTATAGTTACTGTACAAGTACTTCCGGTACACGTCATTAATCTACAAATACTCTGCCCTAACCAAGTTTACAACGTTTAAAAAGTCATGGAGGTTTTCGCCAGAGTAATATAGTCATGTACTCACGTTTTGTAAGTTTTACTCCTAAAAAGAGAATAATTGAGATGGGTCTTATTTGTGAAATACAGAAACATATTGCTCTTACCCAAAGCAATTTACCTTTTTATTAACAATGCCCTTTTTTTTTGTCTAAAAATAGGATCCGATTGTTCTAGGCTTCTAGCCATTTAGCATGATTTTATTCAAAGATAAGTTTATACTTCAATCTTTAAATGCCCCAACTACCCCCACTCCCAACTACCTAAAACAAAATTGAGGAAAAGAGAATTTATTGTCATTGATTAGTGTGCTCTTGAATGCACCTTAGTATTTACTGCAATTTTTCCCTTTTTCAGATCCCAGAAGAAGCCCCCCCAGATGAATACGTCTTCTAGTGTTGCTTATATCATATGCCCATCCATAAACTGCTTCTCATTCACATGTCTCCATAGAAAGAACAGGCTGGTTTACGAGATTATTCATGGGAATTATGGCTGCTGAGCACGTGTTTTGGAGCATGTATTTTTCTTTCTTTCTTTCTTTGTACGATAGTATGTACTATGTAGGATCGCTTTTTGATTTCATTTCTCACATTAAAAGCGTTTCGACAAGAATGCTAGAACAGTTTCTTGGACGTAAGTTTTGGACTTTGGTTTAGAAAATTTATTAGAATTATTAGCTTAACAACCGTCATCACACTCAAACATATTCTATTCATTATATTTTATCATAAAAGATTCAAAGTTTCATTTTCTTGAAAATTATATTTCCGTTATGGCTGTTGAAAATTAAAATTCTATTTCATATTTAATACTCCTTGTGTACAACAACATCCAGGCCTTAATCCCAAAAGATTCGGGGTCGGTTAATATGAATCGATCCATGATGTCAATGCTAAAAAGAGAAGAAAAATAAGGGATACAATATAGTAGTATATGATAAAGATAAATATAAGATAACAGTTACATAAGAATATAAGAAAGATAAAAGATAAAAAGATAAAAGAGCATAAAAAAGATAGAAGATAAAAATTACAGTAGTACATAAAAAGAAAATGTAGATAAACTATAAAAGAAAATGAGAGAGGAAAGATAAAAAAGAGTTCATTCGTCCACAAGCCATACATCATGATCAACCCTTTCATCAACCCCAAATCCCTAATTAAACTACTCACGCCTCATAATTGACGAATCAAAAGAATTGAAATGAATATAATAAATTGTTATTAATTAAAAGAATTGAACTTACAAAGAATCTCAGGTTCTTAAAGTAAACAACGTAAAAACGTAGATAAAAATCGTCCTAGGCCTCTCCAAAGTCACACTCTCATCCAACCCAAGAAGACACATCAATTCTAATTCCTCTAATTCAAATTTGTTTGGGTCTTCCTCTCCCTCTCCTCCTTGTCTCTTATCCCCACCTCTCAAGTCGTCTAATATGTGCATCACTCGGTCTTCTATACAGATGACCAAACTATCACAAATGAGACTCCTGCATCTTATCTTCTATAGGTGGTACTCTTACCTTTTGTCTGATTATCTCATCCCTTAAGCGATCTTTTCTTATATGTACACACATTCAATTCAACATACACATCTCTGCCACACTACTCATCTTTGAATGTGACATTGTTTTGCCACCTAATACTCTTCGCCTTACATTAATGCAAGCTCAATTGATGTTCAATAAAAGTTATTCTTCAGTCTAATCGGTATACCTTGATCGCATAGAAATTTTGATGCACTCTTGCATTTCATCCACTCAGCTCTAATTCTATGAAATACATCTAATTCAACATCTTTCTGAATCATGAAGCCCAAGTAACAGAGCATATCACACATCGGTATCTCTTTACCATCAAGAGTAATCCCACTGTTACTACTACTTCTACCTCCACCAAACGTGCACTCCATATACTCAGTCGTGCTTCTGCTTAGTCCGAAACCCTTGGTCTCCAATGTTTGTCATCAAACTTTGCTTTAACACCCGATTGTGTCTCATCAGTCAATATAATATCGTCGGCAAACATCATGCACCACAATATATCTTCTTGAATTGACTTCATAAGTTCATCCATGACTAGCTAGTAAGAAAGGACTCAAATCGAATCTTGGTGCACACCGATAGCAATAGGGAACTCCACAGTCCTTCCTACACTATTACGGACACTTGTAGTACAACCCTTATACATATTCATAATGATACTGATATACTTACGTGATACACCTTTTCTAGTTAAGGCCCACCAAAGGACTTCTCGAGGTACCCTATCATATGCCTTTTTTTAAGTCAATGATATCAAATGTAGATCCTTTTTAGTATCTTTATACTTTTCCACAACTTGTCTAAGAAAGTGAATGACCTCAGTTGTTGAGCGTCCAAGCATAAAACCAAACTAATTCTCTGAAACCTTCATACTTTTTTGAAGTCTTTGCTCAACCACAGACATATTTGACACCATCCAGAGGCATTGGAGTGGCACATCGCTTCCGGACGACAACCTACCAACATTAGCATTCTTATCACCACACTTAGGGTTGTGAAGTGTAGCGCGCCCTTGCACATTTGACACCACCACAGGCGGAGGGATGACACGTCGCTTATGGATGAGGACTTAGCTATAACAATATTCATGTTTCGATTCGTGTCATGTGATGTGACTATGTGATATTGTTGGCTGCCACGCGCATACCACATGTCCACATCACCATCCTTCTTCACCCTGGCTTGGGACATGCATGATACCAAAATGATCTCATGACACAGTTTATAATACTTCTTGAAGTTAATTGTATCATGAAAAGTGAGTATTGTCATTTTCAGTCCTTGGACTATTATGTTATTGACACTTTTAGCATTTGACTTTAACTTTTCCCACTTTTGACATTCATTTTTGAAAATTTTCATATTTAGTCCCCCGACTGTCATAAAATTGACATTTTTGGTCTTTCAACTATTATAATAGTGATATTTTAGTCATCCCCTTATTGTGATAAAATCATAGTGGGAAACTTTGAAATTGATGACTAGGGGTGGACTCGGGCCGGTCGGCCCGACCCAGTCACTGTTTGGCCCGGCCCGGGTGCTGGGCGGTCCGGGCTCGGGCCCAGCTTTTGGTGAACCGGCCCGGTCGGTTCGGGCCCAGTCCGGGCCGGATTTTAATTTATTTTTTTTTTTTTGAAATTTTTTTAAGTTTTAGGTTGGATTAGGTATTTTGGGCCATTGAGGTGGTTTGGGATGGTTTGGGGTTGAGGGGGAGGGGTAGGGGGTTAAATAGGAGAACCAAAAACCAAAAAAAAAATATGTGGGCCGGTTGGCCTGGCCTGGCCCGGAACCGGCCACCGGCGGTTCGGGCTCGGGCCTAGAATTTCTGAACCGCGAACTGGCCGGGCCCAGGCCCGAACCGGGCCCGAACCGGCCCGAGTCCACCCCTGTTGATGACTAATACTAACTCTGTTCTTAAATAAGTGCAACATTCTAAATTTTACACTATTCACATGTTCTACTTTGACTACATTTTATTTATTGATGTATTAATATATTTTTTTGAAAAAAATATTACTAAATTTGTCTCATTGTAAATTTTCATGATCTGATTTTTTTAAATTTTTTTACTAATAGAGAGTTATATATATTAATGGTCAAAGTTATGCCTCGGCAAATGTGAAATGTTGACCGTTGCACTTATTTAAGAACGGGGGAAGTATGCAATATGTATTGTTTTGTAAAATGTAATCGTTAATGAGAAAATATTGAGTGTTTTCTATTGGTTGTGTGCCGCTTTTAACTTTGAAATAATGGCACAAACATGACCTCCACACTTTGGAAGGACAAAAATATGACTAATTAAAAAATTGACAAAAATATGACCTAATCTCAACGAACACCTTCTCTCCATCGAGAACTTAACATGACATTTCAACTTAACGTGACATTCCAGCCTTCGCTTCGTCTTCCTTGCAGAACCACCGCCGCCGGTCTTCTGCCTCCATCCTTGCCGCAGAACCACCACCGCTCAAGATTCAGCACTGTGTTCTCTTTCTCTCCCGGAACTGCGGCCATCTTCATCCATGGAAGCTTTGGTCTCGGATGGTGTGATAATAGACAGTCTGGTTGTCTTCGGTGCTAGGTTTTCGTCTAAAGCTTCATCGTACGAGTGGCGGCGACATTAATTTCCAGATCTGCACTCGTCGATGGCGGCTACAAGGTGGCACGGGAGCGGCACTGGTGCGGAGGTTGAATTGGAGAGGAGAGGATGCTGGGATGCTGTGGCAGGGTAGGGGACGGGGATGTGGCTGGGGCGTCCCCCGGGGTCGGGTAAGGGGCTTGTGGGGCCACTGTTTAGGGAGGCGACGATTTCCGGTTTGTACTGGGCAGCAAGGGTGACAGGGGTGAGGTTGTAGACGGCCTGGCCTGGTGTGGCTGGGCGCCAGAGAGGGGTGGTGGAGAGTGGTGGTGGCCGGTGGTCGGTGGCTACAGTGACCCGGACGGTGACTACAGTGACAGGGGCGGTGACTACAGTGACACGGGCGGTGGCTACAGTGGCACGTGCGGTGGCTACAGTGACATGGGCGGTGGCTACAGTGACACGAGCGGTGGCTGCAGTGACACGGGTGGTGGCTACAGTGACACGGGCGGTGGCGATAGTGACACCGACGGTGGCAACAGTGACATTTGATACTGACAAAAACTGGACAGTGACATTAAAATCTGGCAATGACATGAATATGACCTTATTAGTCACATTTTTGTCCTAATGTTAAAGTGATCACATTTTTGGAAATTGTCTTTATTTAAGTACTCCCTCCGTCCCGCTAAGATTGTCCCAGACACTATTCACTTGGTCAATACAAATCACTCTTAATCTCTTACTTTATATATCAAATTTTTATCAAATTTGGTTCAGGTTTTTGTGACTTTGTAAAGCTTTTAATGTAGTTTCTGAATATGTAATTTTTTTTTTCAAAAAATAATTTATGAGCCGGCGGGGATCTGTTTGCGTTATGGTCAGTCAAGCATCGTAAACCGAATTGTCCTTATCTTAGTGGGACGGAGGGAGTAATATTTAGGTAAAACCCCCTTTTAACTTTTATCGTTCTATAATTGTGTTTGAGATGCCACCTAATTTGATTGTTTGTAAAGTAGTCTTCCTTCGTTCCTTCAACACAATTTAAACAAACGTTTTATAAAATGCAGTTTTTAAGCTTGAAACAAGAGAGAAATTAGAAAAAACATTAAATGTGGATGGAAATTATTATCACAATATAACTAATTACTAATTCAAAATCTATTGAAATATAGTTGTGAAGAAAAAAAAAATTAAGATTTAAGTTTGATAAAGATAAGAAATAATTCTAAATGTATAATCAAAATAGAAGCAGCACACAAAAAACGAGTCGAGCTAGTAATTTTAGTGACTATAATTGTATTGAAATGTTACATTATAGTGAATATAGTCACATATTTGTCCATTATTTTTTTATTAATAATTTTAGGGAAAACCCTCTAAAGATAAAGGATATAATATATAGATGTGTGAATTGGATTATAGCTTAAGATATAATTAGCTAATAATTCAAATGAATTTTTTAGCAGTCGTATTTTGAGGTTTTTTCCTAAAATGTTATTAATAAAAGAATAAATTCCACTTTTGGTCCTATGAGTATCACACCAATTCCACAATTGGTCCACGTCTTTGACTTTGACCACTTTTGATACATGACTATTTTGTTTTCGCCCACATATTGT